AGTTGGGAAATATCATAACTTAATCCCTAATTTGCCTTGGTGTGTTTTACATCTATATCCCCATTAAGATGCCTTAAACTAGGCCTAAGAATGCCCAGAATGAAATGAGGATGCAAAGATGCACTTAGAAAACATTTTCAGAAATTTCAGTGAAACAGGGTCCCGCTCGAGCGCATGTTTCCCCGCTCGAGCGTACAGGCAAACAAAGGTCCCCGCTCGAGCGTACCTTATACCGTTCGAGCGAACCAAAAAGTACTGGATAGGGGAAATCCTCACTCGACGCTCGCTCGAGCGTGTCATCCAGTCCTCCGCTCGAGCTCCCAATACTCCGCTCGAGCGTACAGTTCTACAGTGCAAGATGCTGGAAGCTCGATTTTCCCGCTCGAGCGGCACTCTCCCCGCTCGAGCGGACGTAAAACATCTGGAAATCCCAGATTCGAGCTCCAGGTCCAAAACCAAGCTTAGATGCATAAAATTCGATCCTCTTGGGCCAATTTCCTGGAAAACTCTTTTAAACACATAGAATAACATATTTCAAAACTCAATTTAGGAAATCAAAGCCCAAGGGTGTTTAATTCAAACCCAATTTCCAACCATTCATCAAGAACAACATCCAAACGTGTCATGCATGAGTTTTACACCAAATTAAAGCTCCAAAACTTGTTCAAATGAGCTCATTTCTTTTCAAAACCAGATGCAAACATGGTCTATAACAACAATATGAGCATGCATGTACCAATGTCCATGTAATCAACCTCAAAACGCAACAATACTAACATGCATGCATGAATTATGCTCTATATCAACATGCTAGAACTAATTCATGGCTTAGCTCTACAATTTATCATGGACCATGCAAGAATTAGTTCAAACACAAGAATGGGAGGATGAAATCCTTACCTAGGTTCCTTGAATGCAAGTCTAGAGGTTCAATTAAGCAATCTACACTTCAATTCCTCCAATTTCAAGCAAAAGAGATGAAGACACTCCCACTCCCTAACATGCAACCAAGCCCAACGCCTAAGGCTCACCAAAGAGGCATTGGACTACACTTATCAAGACCAAACATGGCATGATTTAAGCAACTAAAATCAGGGTTTTAGCATGTCAAAATGAACCCCAAAAATCACTTAGATGACATCTAAATGACTTACACATGGAAGCATGCACAAATGCACTTTCAAGGAGCATGAAACACAAACTCTTGAAACATCAAAGAGCCATGAAATGCAAGTATACAAGCATGCTAAGTGGACTGAAATGACATGGAAAATAGTCCCAACTCACTAAATCAAAGCAAGTAATGCATGCTATACACTCACATACTTGAAGCCTACATGCTAAAATGCAAAGGGGCTATGCAATGCATGCTAAAGTCGACCCAAACAACTAAGGATAGACCTTAAACATGGCAAAATAAACATGAAAGCTTCACAAAACTAAGCCTAAAGCATGCTAGAACAATGGTTTACAACCTAAGGCATGTTAAGGCAACAAAATGGCATTACAAGGCATGTATGCTAAGGAAGCACGGTGTACCAAAACCAACTTAAAACAATGCTATATCATGGCATAATAAGCATAAAATCAGTCAAGGCATGGTCAATACATACTCAAACTATATGCTCCCTCAAGAGGCTAAAAATGGCCCTTTTCAAGGACAACAAGGAGAGGGGGTGGCCCTCTCCTTCCGAGGACCTCAAGGCACCATTCTCACCTCTGAAATCCCTCAAGATTTCAATAGTGAGGAAGCCCAAACACAATGGTCTCGGAGCTCACCCAAAATGGCACAAAATGGAGCCTTACAAGGCTCAAGAGGGGTCAAAGAACCCCAAAGCTTGAAGCAACCTTAAACAACTATTTAGAGGGCCTAAAAACAGAACTTTTTCATGTTATACACTAAGCTCAAAAACAGATGCAAGATAGGCTAAAAAGCTATGCAAAAATGGGATAAAAAGGGATAAAAGTCTTACCCTTGTAGACCCTCTTCACAAATGGTGGACCAGCAGTCTCCTTAGGTCCAAACTAGCTTCAAAACTTCAAAAACAACCCTCTAGAACCTCAGCTCCAAGAGAAAGGTGTAGTAGTAGTTGTTTGTGTGCAATACTAAGGCCTAAAACACACACAAATACAAGAGAATGAGAGATATAGATATAGGATAGATATAAAACCCTAAACCTAGAACCAGAGCTTCTCTAACAATTTTTTCTCTAACCTTAGAAGATGGAGGAGAACCCTCCTCTTAAAGAAGCTCCCTCTTGCAAAGCTTACAAAACAAGCTTGCTAAGAGGGAAATCCCTCTATACACGTGTATGAAGGGGAGCAAAGGTGGGTGCCAGCTATCACAGCTGGCATAAAATATCTACTAAAAGTAGATGAACAGTGATCGGCCATCCAAAATTGCCATTTTGACAAAATAAATGGCCGATCGGCAACAAAGAATGCCGACCGGCAATATATATTACCGATGGCATAAAATCACTGGCCGGTGGCCTCGAGCCATGGCCGGTGATGTGTGGGGATGCCTCACAAGGCATTCCCTGCCCCTCCAAGGCAAAACACAAGTGTTTGGTGCAAAACTAGACACAAAACAGTCGAGTCGAGAGATCCTAAGGTAGGGCGCGTAGCCGAGACCTCCGGGAACTCAAGACGGACACGAACAAGGATGATCAGCCGAGACCTCCGGAAACTCAAGACGGACATGAACAAGGATGATCACCGAGTGTTCAAACGATAACGCCCAAGTCTTGAGGACGGTCAAAAATAGGGTGTCTACATGGACTGACTAGATTCTTGGCGCATCTGATGAAGTTGGCTCTGAAGTTGATATTGATGAGCAAGACCAGTAGTCTAGTATCGTTCTTTCAAAAAATCCCGGATGTCTTTTGCAGGAGTAGTTACAGAGTCAAGTTGAAAGCGACCAAACTGAAGACTGATAGAGGTAACAGAGGTATTTCGAAACCAGGTAATGATTTGGTAATTCTTACTGTCCCATTCCTCAAGTCGGTCTTCATATGTAGCAGTAGCAGTAGAAACAGTAGTTTCATTAGTGTCTTTCACCGGTTGGGTCACATCCCTGGCGATAATTCGCCAGAGCTTCTTTCCTTTGAGGAAGGAAGACATGGCTTGGGCCCACAAAACATAGTTAGAACCATTCAAAATAACGGAAATGGGATGAGAGGCATCATGACGATCCATAATAATAGTTGAGTAGGGCCAAATCGATAGGAATAGACCTGTAGGAGCAAAATTAGTTAAAACAGAGTGTACCAGTGAGTCCGAAAGGTCGAAAATAGCTAGAAAAAGTGGGCTGTGCAGAGATGATGTCAGCAAGATGTAAAAATGATGTCAGCGGCGCACGTTAGCCGAACGGCGCACACGAGGCTTATGGTAACAAGCTGGTGCACACGGGTGCACGATAGCGGAACGACGCAGGCGCGGCATACGGTAGACAGATGGTGCACGCGGATGCACGATAGCAAAACGGCACAGGCGCAGCTCACGGTAGACAGATGGCGCATGCGGGTGCACAGTAGCAGGAATGGCGCACGAAAGAGCAAAGCTGTAGGCGCGTGAAGGCGCATGTGAGAGTGGCAACGGAAGCAGAGACGCGCCGATCACAAAGGCGGCGCGTGGAAGCGCATGAGGGCGTTTCTGACGACAGGCGTGGTGCCTTGGAATCGTAAGGAGATTCCGAGCTGTTTGGTGTAGTTTCACTGTGTACGGGGCTAAGCACCAAAATTGAAGAATGTCAAAATTGTATAACTGGGCTCTGATACCATGAAACAATAGTTTAAGAGAGACAGAGAGAGCAACTGAATAGCTCTGTATTAATCTGTAATTGTATATCTCATTTACAAAGAGAATGCACTCTCTTTATAGAGAGGAGAGGGATACATTGGAGCACCGAAAGCATAAAAGAAAAACATACTTTACATTAAGAAATATAAAAGCTATAATGCTAAAGCTGAAAGTGTGGTAGTGGTGTTTGCCCTTTACAGTCTTTACAGCTAGCGAATGTACTATCTAATGTATATTATATATTAACAAGTTGCACTAATAATTTTTTTTTTTTAACAATACCCTGAGAAACTTGAAATCGTAATTACTAAGCTACTCCTTTGTCACAAATAATCTTATTAAGCTTATTACAAAATTTCAATGTCCCTTTTCATCGGGTAATTAGTAATCTTGGAATATGGACACGTGATATTCCATAAGATTATGATTTAGATTTGGTATTGTGTTGGTGATTGGGAAACATGAGGGACATAGTGAATGATGATTAGTTAGGGAGTACAGACACGTGGTACTTCAAGAATATTGAATAATTTCCCCCTTTTCATCATGTATAAATTGAATCAATTAATAAGATGAGGTTTGTTTTTAAGCCAATTTAAATTTGTATATTATTAAAGAACTAAGCAAATAATTTACAATGATTGGGAGAACGACATCAAATTAAATAAAAATAAAAACAACAATGCACATAACCCTTTTGACAATAGCATTAATGGACAAAGTAGACTCTTTTTACAATAGCATTAATCGACAAATAGATTTACTGGGTCATATAAACAACCGTAACGACCCCTCCTCATATGTTATTCTTAATTTGCCAGATATATACTACCTCTGTTTCAAATTATTTATTTTACACAAAAATAAAAATTTTAAAATAATATATTATCATGTCAACATCAATTTTTTTCCCCACAAATTATAAGAATTTTAAGAGATCTTTTAAATGGTGAAAAAAATTATAAATTTCAATATAAGAATACATTATTTTTAAATTTTCATTTTTTATATCAGACAAATAACTTGAGACAAAGGAAGTGATAAAGGTTACGAGGTTGGTCAAGTAGTAAAGACTTAAAGATAAAGCTCGAGGTCTCAACTTTGAATCACCCTAAAAAGCTATTGGAGGTTTGCATGATCATTAACTTCAAGATTCCGAAAATAGTTAAGGTGCACGCAACTTGAACAGAACACTCGATTACATAAAAAAAAATGATATATTACCTATTATCTACAATAATACTATATACTAAAAATATATATACAACTTAAAATGTAAAGTTTATGTATCATCACAGTCCATGGCTCATATCAGGCCATAATAAATTTAAATTTTGATTATCCTATAATAGCAACCAGCTATCAGGGAGCATGTGAAGTCCAAGCAGAAGCAGTGAACAAACTAGTATCCTTCCACCCTAACCTAAGTGCCCCATCTCCTTGGACAAGGCTATACCCTTGAACAGGAGGGAACATATTCAGTATAAGCTGTGCTTGAGCCATTGAATTCCCACTCATTGGTACTTGCATGAAGCAATTCCTTGCAAGTTCACTCCTCCAATTCCTATACTTGTCCTCCCCACTCCGAGCTAGTCCTCCTATTGCCAATATGTTGTTAATCTCCCTGTAGAGTAGGCAGTGCTCGACGCCATGGCGACTTTGATCGTCACTAGGCAAAAAAGCTCCAAGAGAGTCGAAAATGGTGGAGTAATAATGAAGAGACCCAACAAACCGGTCTAGAAAAGAGCCTCCATGAGCTGCCATGTCTTGCTCCACCAATGTGATCACTCTTGGAGCCAACCCTTGGAGGAGTCTCATCGTCTTCCAATCAGGTCCAGTGGCATCGTATAGTGAGTGTTGTAGCCAGTGCACCGCTATGGCCTCTCCACGGCGGATTTGCAACATTGACATGTCAAGATCACCAAATTTCTTGGCAATTGGGTGGAATTCAAATGACATGCCAAGCCTCCTAGCGAAATTCGAAAGTTGCTTTCCTGTTTCGATCAAGAGCTCTATTGAAGCCCCCATACCGGTCATTCTCACATGTGGTGGACCCTCTAAACGCGTGGCAAGGATGTGAAACAGTGCCGGCCATTGAAGGCCTTGCATGATGTCAAGGTCAATGATGTGAACCCTAGACCAGCCATGGAACGCCTCGAGGATGGCCTGGTTGGAGGTGAAGTGTGCAAATTTGATAAAAGGGGAAATATTGTTGAAGACTTGGAAAGAACAGTGAATGCTTTCGTGATTGATCAAGGGGCTACAAATCCCTAGCCATGAATTGATAACCCTACTAGCCATGGCCTTAGAGAAATAAGACACAACCCTTTCAGCACAAGAAGGTCCATAAGGTGAGGCCATTTGGGTTAGCTCAAGCAACATTCTGTGAGCCTCACCAAGATTGTCAACTGATATAGCCACTGCACACTCCAAAAGAAGTGTGAGTAAGCTCAAACCATGCTCATCTAACCTACTCAAACCCTTAGACCCACCTCCATTAATCTCAGTGAACTTAGTTTGATCTCCAAAATAATTGCACCACTGAAGTTGGTCCCCGGCACCATCGAAGTGGCTTCTTGTCCCTGTAGTTTTCGTTGGCCTCAAGGCAGTGTTGTCCTCATCATACACCATTGTTGTGTCAGTTTGGAAGCTCTCATCAGTGCCGGATTCAGGTAAGTCTCCGATGAGCTGCTTTGTGACATGCTCCACCCACATGGAGAGTTCATTCTTCTCCAAGTTGGTGGTGCAGTTGTTTTGAACAGCTGATCTCAGACCGGGGTTAGAATTAATCCCGGTGTACTCAAGATTAGTGTAGTCCCATTGCTCTTGAGGTTGGATTAAATCAACCCCGTGAACTACTTGAAACTTTCCCTTCATCAAGGTGTCAAAATAGACTTAGATTAGATGTGTGTGTTGGTGTATGTGTGTGAGAGAAAAAAGAGAAGGGAGAGGGAGAATGAATAAGGTTGTAGAGGAAGGTTATGAAAGAAGAGTGCTGGCCAGTTTTGGAGGTGAAGTTGGCATGGATGACCAAATTAAAATAGAACTTTTATACAAAATAACATTTTATTCATGAAGATGAGTTCTATTTATAAAAATGAGACTGCAATATTATTCACCTTATTTAGTTTTAATTTTCTAAAAATTGAGTTCTTTATTTTCTGTATTTTTTTTTATTTTTAGTATTTTTTTAATATTTTAAGTAATTTTTTTTACTTTAGATGTACCTAAAAAGTAAAATATTTTCTAAAAAAAATTTAAAAATCAATAAATACACAAGAATATATGAAAATGTATTGAATTTTCATTTTTTTTTTTTGAATTCTTGGTATAAAAAAATTCACAAATATTATACTTTTTAATTTTATCTATATTAAATGTATTAAAAATTCAAAAAATTGCTTAAAATATTTAAAAAAATTCACCAAAAATTAAAAAAAAACATGAAAAATAAAAAAATTCAATTTCTAAAAAACTGAATACAGAAAATTAAAGGTCATTTTTTTTTTTAAAATTTTATGTATGAATAAATTTTTTATATTAAGAAATGATAGCAAAAGAAATGGTCAATCAGAGTCACACCTGAAAATTAAAAAGAAGATTCGTTTAGGTGGACTTGTTTATTCCAAGGGCTTGGCCGGCATAGTGAGACATATAGATGAAGATAAGTTGCTTATTGCCAAAATTACACATCACTCTGGTAGGGATTTCCACATTGTTTAATTACTAGTTTCCTTTTTCTCAGCTGCACACGTAAAAATTTGAAAAATATCATATATTATATAAGAATTTTTAAAATAATTTAAAATTATACGAGTTCGCATCTCTAAATTTTTTTTAGATAATCTCAAAATTATATAGAGGAACTCTCCAATTTTTTAAACTATAGAATAGCCCTTAAATATTTTATTTATTTAGAGACAAAATCATTATTAGAGACAAAGTATTTTATTTGTCAAAAGTATCATTGTTGTAGTTTTAGTGACAAAATTAGATATTTAGTGATGATTATTACTATTTTTTGGAAGCAAAATTTGTCTCAAAAAATAAACTATTTTGGCACCCCTAAAAGTGTTTTTATTATATTTTTTAAATTTTACCGTTAAAAGTCTAGTTTTTTATTTTTTAAAACGACTTTCTATCGACAATTTTGGCAATGACAATATTTGGTTCTCAAATAATTTTTGCAATAAATTTTTCACTTTTTGGGATAAAAAAAATTAGATTATGGAGTATTTCCGGAGCACGACCACGTGGTACTTCATAGTATTATGATTGGTAAAGAATGTGTGATATTATAATTTTGGGTTGGACAATTCAAAAATATGAAAAGATATGATGAATGATAATTGGTGAAATAATGTAGACATGTGATATTTTGGGAGTACTAAATAATTTTTTTATGAAAAATGTATGATGTGCGTAAAATGTGAAAAAAAAAAAAAAAGGGTTCAAATTCGTCAATTGACATGTGTGGGTGAAAATCTGACCACACTGCTTGCTTAGTGATCAACTGGAGAGCACAGGCAGAATAGATGGCTTCAGTTACCTGTAACAGAAAGAAAAGGCTCCGGCGGTGGTTCTTCCACCCGGGGGCACTCCGACGATCAAGTCAGTATATCTCTAAGATAATCAAGTGCTAAACTTAATACTCAAAACATAAATTACATACCTTAGACCCACGGGGGTGCCTCTCTTTTATAATATACTCAATCCAAGTCCTACTAGAAGTATGACTTCTATGAACTCCAATTTAGTGCTTACTTTGGACTCTTTAAGAGATAAAGATAAACTCCCTAAGAGCTTTATCATTATCTTGGTTAAGTCCCCTTTTCGTCTTAGGACTCTTGTCCTTGTTCGCTTATCTCGGATTTCGATATCTTCGGAGATAACCTCGGCTTCTCCGAGATCATCTCGGCCTAACTACCACGACACGTGGCACCTCGGCTGACACGTCGGCGTCACCATGCCACGTGTTGGTATTCAGAAAATATATCCCCACAACTGCCCCCTTGGTTCTATTACCTCGGCACTCTGAGGTGATAGAACCTATACCGATATTTCGATATTCCTTTTCTGAGTAATGGCTCAAAAACTGTTTAGCCGAGATAATCCACTTCCAGCCGACGCGTTCTCTTTAGAGAACAAGGTTTCGAACGTACTTTCCCACGCACATGAGCTGTCATGCATATCTAACCGTTCCTTTCACGTGTTTTGTCTTCATTGGAGCGTGTCTGTGACGTGCCTGAAAGCTGTCTGTCATTCGTCTGCGCCGTCTGACGCGTGCGTTGCTCTAGGCGTAATAAATGCCCTATTTTTGCCGTCGTTTCACGTTTTTGACAAAACTTTTCCTTGCCTCTTTCTTTCTTCACTTTCTTCATTCTGATTTCTTGCTCTCTCTCTCTTCAAAAGCTCTTTTTTTCTTCGAATCTGCCATTGCTTTAATCTTCTGAAACTGTCTTTAATCTTCCATTCTTGCGAAGCTTTCTTTGCTGTCACAACCGATTTCTGATCTCGGCGAATATTGCCCCGGCTTCATTTGTTCTGGTAAGATTCTGCTCCTTTCACTCTTAGCTCTCCTTATGTGCTTTCGTTTGCCGATTGCTATTATCGCTTTTGTCCAAAGCCTTGGATTTATTTGTGTGTGGGTGAAAATCTGACCACACTGCTTGCTTAGTGATCAACTGGAGAGCACAAGCAGAATAGATGGCTTCAGTTACCTGTAACAGAAAGAAAAGGCTCCGACGGTGGTTCTTCCACCCGGGGGCACTCCGACGATCAAGTCAGTATATCTCTCAAAGATAATCAAGTGCTAAACTTAATACTCAAAACATAAATTACATACCTTAGACCCACGGGGGTGCCTCTCTTTTATAATATACTCAATCCAAGTCCTACTAGAAGTATGACTTCTATGAACTCCAATTTAGTGCTTACTTTGGACTTTTTAAGAGATAAAGATAAACTCCCTAAGAGCTTTATCCTTATCTTGGTTAAGTCCCCTCTTCGTCTTAGGACTCTTGCCCTTTATTCGTCTCGGATTCCGATATCTTCGGAGATAACCTCGGCTTCTCCGAGATCATCTCGGCCTAACTACCACGACACGTGGCACCTCGGCTGACACGTCGGCGTCACCATGCCACGTGTTGGTATTTAGAAAATATATCCCCACATGACAAATATCTCATATCGACCCAACCCAAAGAAATGTTTAATGCAAAAATAAATTTAGAGACGAAGAATTAACTAATCATAAAAAGTAAAGGTGGAGTAATTGGGTGAAACATTGTCTTTAATCAAAATTATTTTTGAGGAACATTATTATTTAAGATTAAAAATTAGAATTAAATTTTAATGTTAATAATGTGACAATCAATTAGAATATTAAAGATAATATTCTCTCTCATATTGTTGGCTACATATTTTGTAAAAGACCAATTACAGTTCGACGCGTGGCAAAGTAAGGGTAATATAGGAAGACTGTTCAAGTCTTCGATCCTGATCGTACACGTGACAGTTGATATTGTCTATTGCATGGTCCGAGTAACATTAGATCAGCAAAGAGATGCAAGGTGACGTGGTTTCAGCAGTTACTCACATTCAAATTCAAATATAGGAGGGAAGCTTAACTGCAAGTGATGCCATAGTGGAACTACTTGTAAGGCAGCATGATCAGTGATCACGGAGGAGCAGTTCGACAGTTTGAAGTGCAGTTCAATGGTCATCTTTGAGGAGTATAAATAGCAGGGAAGACCCCAGAAAAAGACCTCCAGACTCAGATCCAAGAAACCAGTCTTACTTTACATATTTCGTTCCAGTTTTTATATTTCTTGTTCTTTACATTCCTGTACTTTAAATTCCTGTACTGCACTTCATTCATAGGAGTAGTTTCAAGCAGATTGTCGCTGTAAACCTCTACGAGGCTGAGTTTGGATCATTGTAAGTTTTTCATACTAATGAAATGCTTCAATTGCTCTTTATTTAACAGTTCTTGTGCTTAAATTTTCCTAAATCAAGCCACCAGTAAAAGTCCTCTTCATTGAGACTGAAAGAACTACAACACAATCGTCTGATAATTGGTTGGCAATCAAAATTCTGTAAGGGCTGATTGATCCTTGCTGGCACGCTCATAATTACAAAAATAACCTTCGAAAGCCAAAAAGCCAACATATATTTTTGGCACGCCCGGTGGAACCCATTTAAAATGGCTAAACGTAGGAGATAAGGAGAAAATGAACGCTTGGAAGAAGGGGTGGAAGGAGAGGTAGAGATACCTAATCCAGAGGATAATGTGATAACACATCCTGTGGAAACTCCTATTTTATCGGAACCTCTGGTCGAACAGACCAGTACTTCAGAACAAATACCATTCGTTCGTAATATTGGACGAGACCAAGGAATTGGACCATCCACTATCCCATTTACTCAGCCAGTGAATCCATGGGGTGGCCTAGTAGATGCCATGGGACAGCAATTAATAAACACAATGGAAAGGTGGGCAACATCCTTTTTGGATCGAATGAATAACCACCAACCAACAAATGCAAGACACATGGAGGAAGTAAATGTCCCTCAGCAAAGATTGGCTAGAGATAAACAGCCTATGCAAGTTAATGGACATTCTAATAGTCAAACTAGTAATCAGAGTCATGAAAGACCACCACCTCAGTCTTGGTACGAACCCATTTCGAGGCCTATAGCAGGCCAAAATGTCTCAATGTTCAATAGTGAAGCCATGCAAGTTGGTGGATCTAACCCAGTACAAGAAAATGGCATAAGAATGGTTCCAAATCCCACGTTCGAAGCCATACCTGGCACTAGGGGGTACAATAATCCCTTATTCGAATTTATACCCGGGGGGTTAGAGGGTTTTCCTACAAATGGAAGAGACACAACACCAGTTCCAGCACCTTTCGCAGGTCTTTTCGTAGGACAAATTCAAAGGGGTTACCCACACCCCCAACAACAACCTGTACCACAAGAATGTACCACCCTATGGACCAAGAGGACCACAAG